TGGACAATGAAAAACCAAAACAGCGGGGGTCAAAGGAGCGCTTGGGGACACTTAATGCGGTTTTCTGATAAAACGGTTCAATTAAGCAGTTCCTGTATCTTGAAATTGGTCGCTTAAAAAACCGTGGCCCCAACACGTTCGCAAACACAAACCTATCGATGTTCGACAGGCCCATCAATGGTCCCATTCAACGTGGTCAGTTGATCAAACAGAAAGCTGGACCTCCGGCCTCGGTTCAATTCATTAAAAAGATCCAACAAATTAATTGTGCGTTGGGTGACTATGTCGAAGCGTGACTATCAAACTTTAACACAATGTGTAGCAAAGTCGCTTTTCTCGAGTCGAGAATCAATTATTAGGTTTTGTTCGTTATGCTGATAAATACATCTTCGAAACACGAAAAATATTGCAAAACATTTAATGGTCCCATCCATCACTTGATAGAAATGGCAAAACAATAGTAAGAGTACGCCGAAAGTACATGACGAATGAGGTTTCTGTCAATCTAAATGACAGCAACGCAGATATAAGCAGAAAAATAAAACAAAAATTTAGCATCCATTGATGACAAGTAAAATTCAGACTAGAATGTCTTTTATAGATATTCAAGCTATATCTCCACTATAAATGACACCGAAGCCTTTTTATAAATTCGTAGTACACAATTCAGTACAATCATATTTTAATGTATGGAAAATATGCACCTTATGCAGGGTTATGCACACTTTAGTCTTTAGGTAACGATCCCTCTATCTATCTATCTATCTATGGATCTCGAAACACAGCTTGCTGGAATAAAGGGTTTTAACACACGTTCGGAAGTATTGATAACAATGCTTATCATTTTATATATATTCTTGCAGGAAAATATTGTACGACGTAATAAATACGTGACCGCCGCAATTAGGAATCTCCGTGCACCTGCTTATTACCTCGGACTTGATAATCAAGTGGCCGGCAACACTGCCATTAAGGAGGCATACAGTAATCCCCAGTAGAGCACGTTCAATTGGCGGGTCTAAGAAAAGTGATAATGAAGTGAAAGATCAAAAGTCAGCTTTCTGGTTTAAAAACTTACATATGAATTCAAATCAGAATAAAAATGGACTTTCTTGTCAATGGTTGGTCCTTGTTCATTCATTTATCTATTTATTTATTTATTTATTTATTTATTTATTTATTTGCTAGAATGAGTGATAGGTTTTGATGTCTTGTTCAGCTGTCCAGTAACACGTTGCTGATGATGATATTTATCACAATAATCAAATAAGTGAAAAAGGTGAATAACCAGTATGCATTTTTACCACAAATACATATCTTTCAACCGCCGTTCCTGATAACCATACACCATATTGTTGCTGGTATGAATATGTGACTCTTATTAATAAAACTATAATCCCCATTAAAAAATCAACAGGTGTTGGTCATTGAATCTCTATCATGCTTCCCAAAATGTTATCGGCAAGAGTAAATTAGACGAAAGTCGTGATTAGCCTACTACTTGACAGACAACGGGAAAAGATAATGTTGCTTTTGCGTTACCGAACCTACTTGCAGATGCGTTTCATAATGACCCCAACACAAAAAGAGGATTATGGTCTCAAATATCTTTTTATTGTTGTTAAAAAACATCTAGCGGTCATCTATTGTTCGATTGACCAGACGGTGACGCAATGGGACAGGTGAGAAGTGGACAAACGACCATGGGTCATGTTAAGTTCATGAGATCAGGGAATTCATTACCAATTATCAATGAAAAAACTCTCGGCTAAAGACGACACGGCCATTCGGACTAATAAAATAACATTTCCCTAGGGCATAATCTCATCAAAATTGAGATGTCAAGACGACTTGAATTTTTAAGTTGTTTGTTGTCCACAATTTAGTTTTTGTCGCTGGAGAAAATAACCATGTGTGGAATTACAAAGTGGGTTTATCCGTGGGAGAAGAATTTGCGAGAGCTGTAAATGTGAAAAGGAAAAAATAGCTTTTTTATCTTCAAAAGCGAGTGTCACAAGCCTAACGAAGAAGGCACCAGTTGGTCTGGCAGATTCTTAACTACAATTCACGGGAAATATTCCCATAGCTGAATGCCTCTGTCTGTCCACCCAAGACAGGTATTTCATCACGTAGATCCAACGAGATAGGTTGCACGTAAGCATATTCCGCATAACGAATCTTGCACAATACTTTCGGCTTGGCATGTTCAAGTTAAGGGCCCCTTGTCTTTATTTTTCCGATTACCCATTAATGCAGGTCAAAAGTTTACGGGAAGGCAGCCCCACTCCTCACAACTTCATAATCGACAGCCGATTATGACGTAACCACATTGGAAAGTTATAATTATGACTGCCACGGTCATATATCCGATACCTTAATCGCTTCTCCGAGCGCTCCTGGCTTAGAAAGAGCAATGACCCGCGAAAAATACGATCCTTGTGTTTAATATAATTACGTAGGCCGATGCGAGGCTAATTATAAAGTGGAATGCAGTGTTATGCAGCATGGGCAGAGTATGGGAATCAAACGGATGCTTAGGATACCTTAATTTGAGTCACTTCCAAATCACCGTGGCGCTACGACACTCCCGTTTTCCCGCCATAGTCAAAAACGCGCCGTTGTTTTGCACCAACTCTCACACCGTTCTAAACAAATTATTATGCCAATAGGCGAACATAGGTTCCAATTATTGAATAACCAAAAGATGATATGTCGTGTTGTGTGACACAACCCTCTCCATGCCAACCAACGTGACGAGACCCCAAGTTGGTGATATTATACAATATCTGGACAGTGATACACCGTCCATTGTCACGGAGTGTCACGGACAGGCAATACTGGTACAATAATATAGTCCCTAACTTGTTACCTGCGTGTTCAACAGAATCGAGGCTATTCTCGGGCCTTAACTGATTGAGAGCGTGCCCCGAGGCTCAAAATGCAGACTTATCACAGCTATCGGCTCATCTGACACATTTTATGGTTGGTCGCAACCGGCTATTTGACTCTCGCATAATGCATCTCTCCGCCCAATCTCCACCGCCATCTAATAGACGGGATAATGTTCTCTTTAAAAGTCAACGTAATAAATGCTATGGAATTTAGGCACGTTTGCCGCAGTTCATTGGAAACGTGAAAGAGGGGTTATAGGAGCTGGTCTTGGGCCCGTTTCACGTTCTTTTGAAACGTGCAGATACTAAGAAGCGATATAGACTGGGTTCCCATACCTAGATCGATCTAACAAGACCGATCCATCTCCAAGGGGTTTCTCGCTAAATTGTTTTCAGCTTAAGCTTAGATGTATAGCAGGCCTACTGAAAATGCTAAACGATAATTCACTACCCCCTAGCAGGTTCAGTAGGCGTGACAGACATCTACGCCGCTTAAGTTGATTGCAATTTAGTGAGAATTCCCTCGATCGATCCACAGTTAGTACGATAGAATCTGGGAATGGTCCCTAAGAAGCGTGATTTAAGACGACCCGCCTTATCAAAATGCAAGCGTTCTGGTGGTGTTTTTATTACAATAGTAAGGCATGACACGAAAACGAAGATACTGAAAATAAAAAAAAATTTTAAAAAAAATCTTTTGACTCTGGCTTTAAAATAGCTGTAAGTTGAAACCACTGAAAGATAACGCGGTGGAAGACAACCTCATTTTCAACCAACTTCTTCCGTTTTTGCGACAGCAAATTTAAAATAACCCAGTTTTGATGACTTTAATAAGGGTAATTTTACACGTGGTCGAACGCCCAGTTTCAGTTCTAACAAAAACTGAAAGTGGGATGTGAAGGAGAGTACAGGTAAGCAAATAAAAGAAGAAATGAAGTCCAAGAATTTGCTAGCGACTTCAACAAATCAAAAACAATCCGTTTCCTAGTAGGAATAACGGAAATGGAGAAAATCTCAAGGGACCAAAATCAGTAAAAAGCTATGATGCCCCTTTTTGTTTATTTAGAAAGCGAGTTTTGTGATCGATTATTATCATGTGGCAGGAATTTACCGTGCTTTCCACATTTTAACATAAACAGATGAGAAAGAAAGATTAATCAGAATTTAAGTACAGAGGCTTACTGTATACAAGTAAATGTGACAGCGGATTTCATGCTCTCTCCGACCACAGGGTGCGCTAGTATGGTCAAAATTTTTGTATCGCTCACACTATAATTTCGTACAGTATTTTAGAAGCCCTCGATATCCGAGGGAAGATTTCATGTGCCGAAAAACGAAAAACCTAGGAAACAGGTTTGAGCAACGTTTTGAACTTTTGGAAAAGGGAAGTTGACCACATGCATACAGATGATTTTTAATTATCAGCGCGCATTATGTATACACACAGGTCTCAAAAATAACACATTTCACATTCAAACGGAAATGTAAAGAAATGTGTAAATTATTCTGATTTTCTCTTATTTGCAGCTTTCAAATTAATGAAGTAACAAGGAAGTTTTTACCGCAATTATATGCCATTTTTATATGTGAATAAATTGGTTACAAAACTGTGAAAAACTGAAATGTTTTAGAAAAAAAATTTCAATTTTCAAAGTGATAACAAGGGCAAACACAAAATTAACATTATAAAAGTAAAAAAAAAACTATACACGTCTCTCTTTTTTGGTTAAAAGCATTACCTTAAAAAGAACCATCACTGCGTTTCTGACAACCGATGAAATACAACATTATTGGCATGAACATAAGAGACACACAACCACAAGAAAACTAGTCATAGTTTGGCAAGAGCACAACCACTATCTTGTCTCTGTATAATCACTTGGTGTGTTACACATAATTAGATAGTCCTGTGTCACTGCTGGTGTCATTATTTCATCTGTTCATGATAAGTGATATGATACCATCATCGTCTTATTTAACACGCTGCATGCAGGCAGGGAATGCATGAATGTAACATATGGCTTACTCTGTCAGTGTACCGAGTGCATCTTAGATAAATATGGGAAAGCATGGTCTGAAACTTGGTAGCATCAATTGATTGAACGTTCCTTTTTTTGTTATAACTTATCCGCAGCTTGAGTCATTAAAACAAACTGTTAGAAGAATGGGTGGTTTTAGCAGGAAAACTCCATAATAATAAACAGTGCATAACAGCCGTTGCTAAAAATTTGGAATTAACATGCTATGACTCATTAAATAAAGTCACAAGTCATGTAAAATACTTTCAAAAATATGGGACCAGTTTCTGGGATAATTAACATCTGCAAAGAGTCGGACAATTTGGCACTTGGAATACAGGCTCGACACAGCATTAACCCGACTTTAAGATGACTTATTTTGACTGAGTGTGTATAACTTTACTGCGATATCCTCCAGCCTGCTCCTGTACTCTAACTGGGTGTAGTTGCACGGAGGCACCCCTTGGAAACCGTACATAGCACCATAGCAACAAGCTGCTATCACTCCTGTGGAGTCACTGTCTCCAGCATGGAACATGGATCTTGGGTGAAAAAAAAATTAAATTAAAATCCCTGTCTTTTTAACAAGCCAATATGGATGGAAGAAATACTACTGGGAAAGAAACGTGGATGTAAGTTATGAAACATTTAACTTGGAATTTCCAACATTGAAAACAGTGAATGTGATTATGGAGTTTAAAAAAGCTATAATAACAAAAAGTTTGTCAACCTCAATTGCCATCATTATAGACCTCACAATGTGTTCATCTATTATTTTTCAGTTGTTAAAAATATAATAATTGAAAAAAAAAACAACAATAACAACACACAGCCATATCAAGATCTGGTTTCACATGGGAACTGAATCCATTGTACCTTTTACATTAAAAACAAATTAAGTCACAAAATAAAAAGAAAACATTTTTTTTTTGTAGACATAAAAACATTTTATTTGATTGACATGGACTACTTATTATTTAAATTGAGTCTTCCAGTTAGGGCAAAAATTGGTTTTAATTTCTTTTTGATTTTAATTTTTATTTATTTATTATTTTTTTTTTGTGAAAAGATCCTTTTTCCAAATCCTGCTTCCAAAAGCCTAGTAAATAAAAGTTCAGTATTACCTACTACAGAGGTCCTTCCAGTCTGTCCCTGCAGCCATCAGGGCATCATAAGCTATCATGGGAGCATCATGGCCACTTCTGCCAGCCCAGCCATCTATACTGTGTGTGAAAGGAGATGAGGTGAGAAAAAGATATTTTCTTACTAAACACACTTACACAACGTTAACACTCTCAAAGGTTCCTGAAAATTTCATCAAAATCCTTCCATAACTTTTTTTTTTTGCATAATGTTGCTAACAGATAGACAAACAAACTTACTTACTAATGGATCCAAAACTATAACTTCCTTGGCAGAGGTAATAAATAAATAAATAAATAAAGACCAAATTGATCACATTTGCACTTAACATAAACAATATCACTGCTCATATTCCAAAATATGTTTGTGCAGGCCTAAATTATTAAAGAAACTTTCTCTGTCATTAATATACTGATATGTTAAGTGAAACTTAAATTAACGTGTTGAAAGTCTGCAGAAAAAAAATTCAATTTTAGAAAAACTTGATGCAGAGTCTTGACAACAAATCTCTTTCATCTGATTCACATTTTAGAAAAAAATAAAATTATCTTGCCCTTGATCATTTGTTGGGTTGATGAATGTTTGTGGCAAAACAGTTGTGTTAGGTGTGAAAACACAATTCTGCAGAACAGAACCCATCATCTGATTTCAACTGACCACTTAGACCCTATTTCCATAGATTTTAGATCGATCTATCCCTGTGGGGAGTCTCACTTGATTACTGTCAGCTTAGCCGGCTTAAGCGTCTGTCCCGCCTACTGAAAGCTCTAAAGGGGTAATTAACTATGGTGCGCGCTCGGCTGACTGCAATTTAGCGTGAACCCCCAGGGAGCTAGGTCGATCTAAAACTTAATCCCTGGATCGATCTAAATCTCTGGGAATACACCCTTAGTATCAGGAACACTGCCAGTACAACATAGTACAACATGTATCCTTGCTAGTAATTAGGTGCATGTAAGGCCNGTGGGTTTATCCGCGGGAGAAGAATTTGTGAGAGCTGTAAATGTGAAAAGGAAAAAATAGCTTTTTTATCTTCAAAAGCGAGTGTCACAAGCCTAACGAAGAAGGCACCAGTTGGTCTGGCAGATTCTTAACTACAATTCACGGGAAATATTCCCATAGCTGAATGCCTCTGTCTGTCCACCCAAGACAGGTATTTCATCACGTAGATTCAACGAGATAGGTTGCACGTAAGCATATTCCGCATAACGAATCTTGCACAATACTCTCGGCTTGGCATGTTCAAGTTAAGGGCCCCTTGTCTTTATTTTTCCGATTACCCATTAATGCAGGTCAAAAGTTTACGGGAAGGCAGCCCCACTCCTCACAACTTCATAATCGACAGCCGATTATGACGTAACCACATTGGAAAGTTATAATTATGACTGCCACGGTCATATATCCGATACCTTAATCGCTTCTCCGAGCGCTCCTGGCTTAGAAAGAGCAATGACCCGCGAAAAATACGATCCTTGTGTTTAATATAATTACGTAGGCCGATGCGAGGCTAATTATAAAGTGGAATGCAGTGTTATGCAGCATGGGCAGAGTATGGGAATCAAACGGATGCTTAGGATACCTTAATTTGAGTCACTTCTAAACCACCGTGGCGCTATGACACTCCCGTTTTCCCGCCACACTCAAAAACGCGCCGTTGTTTTGCACCAACTCTAACACCGTTCTAAACAAATTATTATGCCAATAGGCGAACATAGGTTCCAATTATTGAATAACCAAAAGATGATATGTCGTGTTGTGTGACACAACCCTCTCCATTCCAACCAACGTGACGAGACCCCAAGTTGGTGATATTATACAATATCTGGACAGTGATACACCGTCCATTGTCACGGAGTGTCACGGACAGGCAATACTGGTACAATAATATAGTCCCTAACTTGTTACCTGCGTGTTCAACAGAATCAAGGCTATTCTCGGGCCTTAACTGATTGAGAGCGTGCCCCGAGGCTCAAAATGCAGACTTATCACAGCTATCGGCTCATCTGACACATTTTATGGTTGGTCGCAACCGGCTATTTGACTCTCGCATAATGCATCTCTCCGCCCAATCTCCACCGCCATCTAATAGACGGGATAATGTTCTCTTTAAAAGTCAACGTAATAAATGCTATGGAATTTAGGCACGTTTGCCGCAGTTCATTGGAAACGTGAAAGAGGGGTTATAGGAGCTGGTCTTGGGCCCGTCTCACGTTCTTTTGAAACGTGCAGATACCAAGAGGCGAGTAAGACTGGGTTCCCATACCTAGATCGATCTAACAAGACCGATCCATTTCCAAGGGGTTTCTCGCTAAATTGCTTTCAGCTTAAGCGGCTTAGATATATAGCAGGCCTACTGAATATGCTAAACGATAATTAACTACCCTCCAGCAGGTTCAGTAGGCGTAACAGACATCTGAACCGTTTAAGTTGATTGCAATTTAGCAAGAATCCCCTCGGAGATGGATCCATCCACAGTTAGTACGATAGGATATGGGAATGGTCCCTAAGCAGCATGATTTAAGACGACCCGCGTTATCAAAATGCAAGCGTTCTGGTAGTGTTTTTGTTACAATAGTAAGGCATGATACGAAAACTAAGATATTGACAATAAATTAAATTGACAAAAATAACCTTTTGATTATAGCTTTTAAAAAAGCTGTAAGTTGAAACCACTGAAAGAGAAAAAATGAGAAAAACAAACTCATTTTCAACCAACCTCTTCAGTTTTTGAGACAGCAAATTTAAAATTCCTCAGTTTTAATGACTTTAATTAGGGTAATTTCACACGTGGTCAAATGCCCAGTTTCAGTTCTTCTCACAAAAACTGAAAGTGGAATGTGAAGGAGAGTACAGGTAAGTAAATAAACGAAGAAATGAAGTCCAAGAATTTGCTAGCAACTTCAACAAATTCAAAAACAATCCATATCCTAGTAGGAATAACGGAAATGGAGAAAACCTCAAGGGACCAAAATCAGTAAAATGCTGATGCCCCTTCTGTTTATTTAGAAAGCGAGATTTGTGATCGATTATTATCATGTGGCAGGAATTTACCGTGCTTTCCACATTTTAACATGAATAGATGTAAAAGAAAGATTAATCAGAATTTAAGTACAGAGGCTTACTGTATACAAATAAAGGTGACAGCGGATTTCATGCACTCTCCGACCACAGGGTGCGCTAGTATGGTCCGTTACAAAATTATTGTATCACTCATACTATAATTTTGTACACTATTTTAGAAGCCCTTGATTACAGAGAGATTTCATGTGCCGGAACGAAAAACCTAGAAAACAGGTTTGAGCAACGTTTTGAACTTTTGGAAAAGGGAAGTTGACCACATGCATACAGATGATTTTTAATTATCAGCGCGCATTATGGATACACACAGATCCTGTATAATAACACATTTCACATTCAAACGGAAATGTAAAGAAATATGTGTAAATTATTCTGATTTTCTCTTATTTGCAGCTTTCAAATTAATGAAGCAACAAGGAAGTTTTTATCGCAATTATATACCATTTTTATATGTGAATAAAATGGTTACAAAACTGTGAAATACTGGAAATGTTTTAGAAAAAAAATTCAATTTTCAAAGTGATAACAAGGGCAAACACAAAATTAACATTATAAAAGTAAAAAAAAATATACACATTTCTCTCTTTTTTGGTTAAAAGCAGCATCTTAAAAAGAACTATCACCGAGTTTTTAACAACCGCTGAAAGACAACATTATTGTCTTGAACATAAGTGACACACGAACACAACAAAACTAGTCATAGTTTGGCAAGAGCTCAACCACTATCTTGTCTCTGTATAATCACTTGGTGTGTTACACATAATTAGATAGTCCTGTGTCACTGCTGGTGTCATTATTTCATCTGTTCATGATAAGTGATATGATACCATCATCGACTTATTTAACACGCTGCATGCAGGCAGGGAATGCATGAATATAACATACGGCTTACTCTGTCAGTGTACCCATGTGCATCTTAGATAAATATAGGAAAGCATGGTCTGAAACTCGGTAGCATCAACTGATTGAACATTCCTTTTTTTTTTTTTGTTATAACTTATCCGCAGCTTGAGTCATTAAAACAAACTGTTAGAAGAATGGGTGGTTTTAGCAGGAAAACTCCATAATGATAAACAGTGCATAACAGCCGTTTCAAAAAATTTGGAATTAAAATGCTATGACTCATTAAATAAAACCACAAGTCATGTAAAATACTTTCAAAAATATGGGACCAGTTTCTGGGATAATAAACATCTACAAGGAGTTGGACAATTTGGCACTCAGAATACAGGCTCAACACAGCATAAACCCGACTTTAATATGACTTATTTTGGCTGAGTGTGTATAACTTTACTGCGATATCCTCCAGCCTGCTCCTGTACTCTAAGTGGGTGTAGTTACAGGGAGGCACCCCTTGGAAACCATACATAGCACCATAGCAACAAGCTGCTATCACTCCTGTGGAGTCACTGTCTCCAGCATGGAACATGGATCTTGGGTGAAAAAAAAAAATTAAATTAAAATCCCTGTCTTTTTAACAAGCCAATATGGATGGAAGAAATACTACTGAGGAAGAAACGTGGATGTAAGTTATGAAACATTTAACTTGGAATTTCCAACATTGAAAACAGTGAATGTGATTATGGAGTTTAAAAAGCTATAAAAACAAATAGTTTGTCAACCACAATTGCCATCATTATAGTCCTCACAATGTGTTCATCTGTTGTTTTTCAGTTATTAAAAACATAATAATTGAAAAAAAAACAACAACAACAAAAAAAAAAAAAAAAAAAAAAAAAACAACAGTAACAACACTGCATTATCAAGATCTGGTTTCAAATAAAAACTGAATCTATTGTACCTTTTAGATTAAAAAAATTAAGTCACAAAATAAAAAGAAAATAGTGGTGTAAAACACAAGTCATTTCTTTCTGTAGACATACAAACATTTTATTTGAATGACATAGACTACTTCTGATTCAACTTGGGTCTTCAAAATAGAACAAAATTCGGTTTTAATTTCCTTTCATTTGTTGGTGCAAATATCCCTTTTCCAATTCCTGTTGCCAAAAGCTTAAAAGCCTAGTAAATAAAAGTTCAGTATTACCTACTACAGAGGTCCTTCCAGTCTGTCCCTGCAGCCATCAGGGCATCATAAGCTATCATGGGAGCATCATGGCCACTTCTGCCAGCCCAGCCATCTATACTGCAGGGAAAGGAAGAAGAGGTGAGAAAAAGACATTTTCTTATAAAACAGACTTTCACAACATTTCAAGGATTTAATGTGCCCCCCCCTTGAAAAAACTTACATTGCTGCAGAAAAATTTAATGAAATAAGTGAAAAGACGTTGAGAATGTAAAGATGATGGGACTTCAAAACTAATTTACATAAATAAATAAATAAATATTCATGAGAACCAGAGGGGCAGAGGTAATGGCAGAAGCATGACAGGACCAACAGAGAAAGAAGCTTGTGCAATGCTGATGTAAATGGTAATCTGGATCACCACAAAAATCTAATCACTTGTTCTTTGGCTCACTCTCCACAGTTTCTGAAAATTTCATCAAAATCCATCCACAACTTTTTTTTTTGCTTAATGTTGGAAACTGACAGACAGACAAATAAACTTAATTACTAATCCAAAAACATGACTTCCTTGGCAGAGGTAATATAAATAAATAAATAAAATGTAAAGAAAAGACCAAATTGATCACATTTGAACTTAACATGAGCAATATCACTGCTCATATCCCAAATATGTTTGTGCAGGCCTAAATCATTAAATAAACTTTTTTTGTCATTATATACTGATATATTTAATGAAACTTTAATAAACATGTTGGAGGTCTGCAGAATATATATATATATATATATATATATATATATATATATATATATATATATATATATATATATATATATATATCAGAAAAACTTGATGAGTCTTGACAACAAATCTCTTTCATCTGTTTCACAAAAAAAAAAAAAAAAAAAAAAAAAAATCTTGCCATTTATCATTTGTTGGATTGATGAATGTTTGTGGCACAACAATAACTGAATTGTGTTAGATGTGAAAACACAATTTAGCAGAACAGAATCCACCATCTGATTTCAACTGACCAGTAGTTATCAGGAGCACTGCTAGTACAACATGTATCTTTGCTAGTATACAGGTATTATTTGGTCAATTCATAAAAAATGCAAACTAATTCTATTACCATCCATTCCAGGGGTCTCTGAGCAGCCATTTTCCAAAAAATTGAATAGCAACAAACAATTCAATAGATCTTTATACCAGTAATACCTGAATGTTTCATATATTTTGTCCCTCTCTGCTACTCCATAACTTTCAGGAAACTTGGGAGCAGAAACACCATCTTGGATGCCTAAACAACAGATGAAAATAAGGTTTTAAAAAGGCATGCAAACATGTGACCTTCATTGATTAAGCAGGTAAGATAGCATAGTGAAACCAAAGTAGCTAGCCAACAGTATTGCTCTCAATATGTGCAGATCTGATGTTTCTTGCATTCCCAGCAATATAATTAGAACTATAAATGAAGGAAAATGGCTGAAAGCATGATCTGTCTCTGTAATAATTGAAAACACCCTTCATGGTTTATAATTTGCAACTACATGTAGTCTAGTTACATGTTCTAAAATTGTACAGTATTTAACTGTAATTTTTATTAGCAAAATGAAAATTTTAAAATGGCACCAATATCAAGAATATTACCCCTCTGCTCTAAGTACCATTTCCACTTCTCAGTGAAATAATCCCAGGCTGCCTTGTTTTCTGCCACATCCCTTCCTGCAGACTCGACATAATTCCATGCTTTAGAGAGGGTACTGATCAGGTCTCGTCCCCAAGATGGCACTGGTTATAGGAAAACAAGGCAGCAAAGCTGTCAAATGTACAGACAAAAAGCAGGAAATAACAAAACAGGCTACTGTCAATTCTGATGCAAAAGTACATTATGCTTAGCTGCAAATTCAACATCAAATTTTAATTATGCTCAACAGGTATTACCAATGTAAGTGAAATGTGTAACAAGCATAAGGCTTCAGGCCCATGGGAGTTGNTGGGTTTCAATTGCTGCTAGAAAGGCATATGGTTCATTATACAATTACATTTCCATGGGTTTCTTTTATAAATCATTTATGTTTTTCATTCCATTTATTATTACCCCTATGATGTATACCTGGTCTGTAGCATGTGTGTATCTTTGGGTTTTCTGAAAAAATCCAAGATGTCTGCCTTTTGTCATTAGAATATTCGAACACATAATCAAATAATGCTAGAGATACACTGAGTACGATTTAAATGTAGTTAACTTTGTGTCGTTTTTAAATGTTTTTCATATCCTATTTATCCTTATGAATGATTCTGTGTGTTTTGAAAGTGTATATGTATCCTTGAGTATTATTCGGAGAAAACCCAAGATAGCTGCCAGTTGTCAAAGGAATATATCATTGAAATGCACATAGGTGTCAATTAATAGAACAGTTCAGACATTGATTCCAACATGAAATAAAGCCGTTTGATGTTTAAACATGTTGACATCCTTATTAACCTTACTCTTTATAAATCTGGTGTGTAGCAAGTGTGCATCTTGCGTATTTGAGAAAATTCAAGATTGCTGCAATTCACAATAGGAATAGTACAGTCAACTACTGCCAGAGAAACATTGGGTTCAATATAAAATGAATTTTGTTTCTCGGTATTTCCCACATTCTTTTTGGACTTTTAGATATCTATCTGGTGGGTAACAAGTGTATACACTTAAGTATTTTGAAAAAATATCATGATTACCCTCATTTGCCTTAGAAGTGCCTATAAAATCTAATGCACCAGTTTTCCTATGGGGAAAAGAAGGCCATCTTGGATTTCCCCAAAATGATAAAATATGGACATTAATTACCTAACAGATATGTATCATGGGATAATAATACTAAAAAAACAGAATAACAACTGAAGTCAGCTTCATTTTATTTGTAAGCCCATCTCTCGCAGGTATTAACTGAACCCCACCTTCTATGGCTAATGGCAGCCATTTTGTTTTGTTTTGTTTTCAAAAAGGATACACATAACATTCTCATCACATATGTATTATGTTAATAAAAAAGATGTGGAAAATACTCAGAAACAAACCTAATTTATCAATTAATATTATATCTCCATGGCAGAAGAAGCCCTATGTGTATACTAGTATTCCTTTTATATGGGGGCCATCTTGGATTTTTCTCGAATTGCCTGTGAATAAAGGTTAGTTACTCACCACAAATATATTATTTGTGTAATAAGAAACAAAATTAATTAGATAGTGGGCAATGCATCTTCCTAGTTGGCATTAGTTAGTTGAAAACCCTTGTACATGTTATAGTATTCCTATGCCATACGGCGGCCATCTTGGATTTTTCAATAAGTCCAAGGACACTAGTTTGTTATCTGATACATATGCATAATATGGGTAATAAGGATGAGGAAAACATTGAGAAAATACTTAATTTGATAAAAATCAACATAGACATGTATATATTTCTACAAAATTTCACAAACTGGCGGCCATTTTGGATTTTTTGGCCAAACGGTAATTTTTTTTCCGTGGGCTACGGCTCTAATTTGATTTAGTATGTCAAAAGGTACCCACATGCAAAATTTGGTGCTTTTATCCACTGTGTCACGATTTGGCCATTTTTTTGCCCTAAGCAACCGGACTATATGGGGGAGTTATGGAATTGAGACGCTTGCGCTCGGTCGCAATGCACGATGCTTTCGAGATACGGGGCCCTGATGTTTTTGCATTCCCAGCAATAGAATTAGAACTATAAATGAAGGGAAAATTGGCTGAAAGCATGATCTGTCTCTGTAATCATTGGAAACACCCTTCATGGTTTATAATGTACATAATGTACATAATGTATCTAGCTACATGTCCTAAAATGTACATCATTTATGTGTTATTTTTATAAGCAAAATGAACATTTTAAAATGGCACCAATATCAAGAATATTACCCCTCTGCTCTAAGTACCACTTCCACTTCTCAGTGAAATAATCCCAGGCTGCCTTGTTTTCCGCCACATCCCTTCCTGCAGACTCCACATAATTCCATGCATTAGAGAGAGTACTGATCAGGTCACGGCCCCAAGATGGCACTGGTTATAGGAAAATAAAGATTGGCATTTGGATGACTGTCATATATCATGATATAAACACATTGTGGACTCATACAAGTATGATGGGTTCAAGGACAGGGTAATCCTAGAGAACAAGCACTTTTAGCAAAGCTGTTATTTGCAGTAATAAAAGTAGTGCAATAAGTCTAAAATAAGTATGCTAATAGAATTTCTTGAAAAATGCACTGGTTAAAAATATAATGATGAAATGACCCATTTAACAATGTTTTTTTTTTTTTTGTCTCTACTGAAAAAGATCCTGGTATAATAGCTGATTATCAGACAATATCAGGTTACATCAAGAAAAATAAATGATACATAAATTCAACATTATCATCTTCATTTCATCTAATGTTTTCTTATCACCACATTTTAAAAAGAGAGAGAGGAAATAAAGACTCACTGCCAGGGTGTGGGAGAGGAGGGTGTTCCAGTTTTATTCCACCAGAGGGCCTCGCTTACTGTGGTGAAGCAAAACCATGTACACCAGTCATAATTTTTGAAATAAGATATCCAAGCATCTTTCTCTCATGTTTTTTAATGGTGCACAAAAAGGCCCCATTTCCATAGACACCATCAGTGTACATGGTTCAACCCAACTCTGGGGGGACTCTCACGGACTGCAATCAGCCTAACTGAATGCCAAGCCTCTTCCTGGGGTTAAGTAGAATATAGAAAACTTCATATACAAGTATGTTGGAAACAAGAGGTGTGTCATTCAGTTAAAGCTGATTGTACTCAGCGAGAGTCCCCACAAAGCTGAGTCAATCCAAGTGGACCAATGGTGCCTGTGGCAATAGGGCAGCTTACATTATTAAAATCTTAAAGACTCACATGGTTTCAGCTGTGCAGCATAGGAGGTGAACAAGGCACTGGCCAGAGATCCCAGATATCCTGTAGGGTGGTTGTGTGTCATTCGCCCACTTTCTATACTGTACATTATAAGGTCATCAAGGTCCTCTGGACTACAAAGAAAAAATAGATTAGACCCGTAGGCAAGGGGGGGGGGATTAAAATGAACAGCCCTTATGGGGTGCTCTGAATCAAATTTTATCTACTTATAATAGATACTCAAGTTGGGTCAAGTGATAAATTTTTGCCAATCCTGTGAAACTACACTTGTTAACCTCATAACAAGTCCAGAGCACCTCCTGCTCTCTAGCAAGCCTGTAATGAAATTAAACCACATTTCAATGCACAGTAACACACTGCATACAAACTGTGAGGCATGTGTTGACAACTTCCACTTACTTACTACTTACGTGGAATATCTTAATCCAATACACATAGATCTCATGGCAGCTCCACATCCCGTCCCAGTTGGATTGAATGGAATAATGTATCCACCTGGTTTATCAGGCTGCAGGAGGTCTGTGCCCTGGATGGAAATCAATTCAGATCCTATCAGGTCAGTTCAGACAAGGACGACATCAGACTGAAATCAGGCCAACTTGCATCAAAAGGGAAACAGATTACTAAGGCAGGGTTTTAGGGACCGTTCACATGGAAAGTCTATTTTCTAAAAATCTATTTTCTATTTGCGGTATCTTGTAATCATGGTCTGTGCCCTGAATACCCCGCGACGAAATTACTGGCAGTGCCGAGAATTAATTACAGCTTTGGAAGTAACTGGCTTGCGCTGCCAGTAATTACGCTGCGGGATTTTCAGAGCACAGACCGTGATCACAAGATATACCGCAAATAGAAAATAGATTTTTAGAAAATAGACTTTCCATGTGAACGAAACCTTATAGTTCTTATGAGCTCTTCTAAATGATTGTCTGATTTGTCAGCTCGTGGACTGATTTCCAGTGTTATAATACCAGTATCCTAGGATATATCTACAGAGTACATGGAAAGTTATTGAAAATGGCACTGGTGTAATAATGACCAAGAAATCATTAATGAATATGTAAAACATGTACGCATGCACATACACAGTACACATATTCTGCTACGATTTAGTTAAAGATAAAAAAGGGGGATATTCAAGAAGATGGGCACAATAATAATAATAATAATATAACACTACACTTTTAAGGAAATTTTAAAAAATCACATTAGGATTTTTGTATTACCAATATGGATGTGGGTCCAGGTTTCCTTCCTTCCATATCTTTCATACATTCTTTATACTTGGCAGCAATCTCCAACAGCATTGCTTCTTTATCTGTCTTTCCACTGGCAAGGGCTGTAAAACATAATGAATGCTCAGCCCAGACTGCAGTTTAAACCAGCAATAATTGAAAATCCATTATTAGTCTGAAAATATAGTACGGATAACTGAATACACTATCTGGCATATAAATTCTTGTTCTTTTCTTCTGAAGGTTTACAGAACGCTATTAAAAGCAGCATCCATTGCCTGAAACCTGTATCTTAAGATTCACCTGATAATTTATTTTTAACCATGATATTCAAAATGATAAGCCAAAGTTCAGTTCCTCATTGCCTACATCCAAATCATTTTCAGAAATGACAGTGACACATCTTGTACATGTCCATATGACACAAATCCAAGAAACATTCCAAGATAAATAAATATAAATAATTCGATATGAATCAGTTTCTTTGGCAAAGTAATCATCTGACCTTCCGGGCTAGTTTTTCCACTCCATTACTAAGTACATTAATTTGATAAATAAATGATATTTCTTACATAAATGTCAATAGCATTTAACTGTTGCAGTTCCCATAAATGAAAACAGCACCGTGAATAATCCATAATCTTCAAAAGGTCAAATATCAAGGGCATTTTCATTCAATCAAATATACCTTCTCCAATGGCAATATGCATCACAGTGTCATCACTGACAGGCCATCCAGGGGGTGTCGCTGTAATGTTGTCCAGACCCCCTAATTCCTGCAACTGTTGATGGATTGTAGGACCTGCAAATATGAATAAGACGAATGGTAATAAAACTGTCCAAGGGATGTGATGTTGTATGGACCTCCAAATTCTTGTAATTTTTGTAAATTGTGGGACCTGCAAAAATATATACACATGTGTATGTGTATGTGTATGTGTAAAAAATTAATATGACTTACAGTGTTATAAGTGTATCAGTCAGATCAGAATAAAGTACAACAGTTACAAAAACTGGAGTAAGTCTGAATACAAGAATATAGTCATTGAGACCTGTTATAACTAGTGTGTTTGTATGTAAGCCAGATATCAAATTGTTTTTGTTTTACTGAAAATTGGGTCAGTTAACCTTGACCTAATAAGTAGGGCAATGACCTACATGCTAATGTGTTGTGAGAAACTTATTTACTTGATAAAGGCTATGACTTCACCTTAATTGCTTAACTTCATTTTGAGCTAAAAAATACATGAAAATGATACACTTCTTGAGTTTATTTCACTTTGACTTTCCATAAAAGCATTACTCAAAATTTCCACTTTGACTAAAAAAAATGCTTGAATAAATCTATCTTGTAAAATTTCTCTACTAAAATAAATTTACAAATAAAGTAAATAATAAATAAATAAATAAATAAATAAAATACACATATTCCATGTTCAAACAGGACACAGCATCAACCCTGTCAACAAACCAAACTGGAGTTTTAATGGCTGTACATCACATACGACTTGTCATAGGAGTCGTGATAGGACCCAGGATCCTTGCCACTTTTTGATGAATACCCCCCCCCCCCCCATGGAGTATTAAAGTTATAAATATGCTTGATCCAGCATAAGTTGGTATTTTAGAATTGAACTCTTGTAATAATAAGATTACGAGGCTGAGACTATGTTTCATGCATTAATTTTATTGCATGGGCTATAGCACATGTCGGTGGATCCAGGGGGATATGTTGGGGGGGGGGAGGGGAAGAGGGGCCAATCCCACTAAAGGAATTTCTTTATTGATGGTCAGCATCTTCCCTAAATTATAGCTTCCTATATGCCTGATGAGTCAACCATAATGGTTGAGGGGGGGGAGAGTAATGGAAGATAGATTACCCCCCCCCCCTCTCTAGGCTACCCCTTATGGGTTTCATGGATCCGCTATTTACTATATCATGCATAAACACAATCATACTCAGGTAAATTGTGTTAAGTGTGTTCGTATGGCGAGGAACTGCACAATCGAAAAGAACACCAACTTTATCAAGACGCAGTTTGAGACATTCTTCCAAATCCAGTTTACCAAGTGAAGACAGAACTCGTACTAGTGAGCACGTATAGTGTAAAGCCTGCAAACCTGATTTACAGTACTCCCACTCCTGGTTCTTATACCCCAGTGCATCACCGGCACCGCTCAGTACCATAGCTGCTTTGAATCTCGTGAGCAAGTCGTTTTGTTCAGACATGGTCGCTTCTCTCTCGTACTAAAATAGACCAAATACTTCAGGTCAAGGTCTCAAGGACCAGGGGTATTGCGAGGAAAGAGCGACCACAACTGCACGCCGATACTATATAAGATAAGCACCACTCCGGCCAATTGCGATCACTTGCATAATTATAATTCAAAACGACAGCAAATGCCAAAGAACGTGGAAAATACAGTAAGGTTAGTAATATAATAATTGGTTACTAAATCTACTCTATTCTCTCCGCTCTTTGGTATTCGCTATTCGCTGTAGTTTTGAATTGTAGCCTATGTTAGGCTATCATGTAGGGCCCATTATTCACGTGAAGGGGCGCTTTTCTTATTTCTGTGTAAGTTCAAAATCTTCTTATTTATTTAAAGGTATCTGCCTGTCTGTCCATCTCTCTCTCTCTCTCTCTCTCTCTCTCTCTCTCTCTCTCTAACAGACTTTTGCATTGCTGTTAGCCTTCCTTTAAATCGCTCCTATCATCGCTTTATATGAAACCGCATTTGACGTTTGGGTGCTACCTTTATCGCTCAATGAAAAATAAGCCCCCCCTCCCCACCCCACCCCCAAAAAATTAAAATAAATAATTAACAAAATTAACAAATAATAGATAAGAATACAATAACAATCCATATCAATAGATATTTCAAGCCAATTCAATACATCGACAACATGCCCTAGGAACTGGGAAGTGGGGCCTAGGTTTTTAAAGGGAGGGGGGAGGTGTAGACCTTCAATAGCTACCGTTTAGAATGAAAATATGAAAACGAAAATCTTGCTTTTTCTTTTCTTTTCCCCTCTTTTCGTTTTTATCTTATATCCTCTTTACCCCCGTTAATTTATAAATGTTCGCATTACTGGAGTCCTTATGACTCACTTTGAGTTCAAGTACATGCAGACACATGGGCCTAAACAAATTTGTAGGGCTACCTGAAGAATTCACAAAGAATGTCATAAATGCGGTTAGAAATTAATATTTTGACAACCGCCAAATTTTTCAGGCAACAATCTAGGTTACTCAAAAGATAAAGATTGAAAAAATCAAGTTTCCACGAGTGCACTTAAAAAGCAGCTACTAGGCCTACGATATACGTGTTATATTATATTATATAGAAACCGTCTTTCTCTCTTTTTCAAAATGCTAATTATGATTTACGTTCCAGCCACAAGTTCATATTTTATCACACCTGCAAAAGAACGCCATAAACACGATTAGGAATTTTTTGACAAACAGCCAAGTTAATCAGAAATAGGTCAATCAAAAGATAACGACAGAAAAACATTTAAGGTTCCGCGAGGACATTAAAACGCAGCTACTAGGCCTACTATATATATTGTGAATTATATATTTAAAACCCCTTTCCCCCCTTTTTTTGTCAAAAATGCTGATTATGACTTAAGCTCCAACAACAAATTCATTTTTTATCAGACCTGACAAAATTGTCTAAATAATGTTTCCTTAGATAAACTGAGTCTCGTGCCTGACGTTTGCGGGCGGTAGTCAGTGTCTCGTGTGCAAAGTCGTATAAAATTAACAAAACGCAACAGCCTGCCGAGTTTAACAGCGTCCTCCACGTCTATCAGCTACATAGATAGGCTCCAAGTTACACCGAAATACGAGAGATAAGGTAAGTGAGGGCAATCATTCAGTATTGAATTGAAAAAATATAGAATAAGATTTCATGTTATCCAGATCAAAATAACTCTTATTTTCACGAGAAAATTGGAAATTTGTGCATTCACACGCTCGTGTTGTTTATCATAGACGTTAAAAGACGATTGCACCATCTTTCGTATTAATTATTGATGAAGCGCTGTCTACTTTGAGGTTGTGTTACTATTGCTGCCGTGCTTATAAGATTGGAACGCTATTTAATCATCAGAAAGCACATAATATATATAGCAAGACGGCCAAACTTCAAGTAGAAAGCAACGATAGGAGGGAAGAATAAATGAGACAAAATTACATATTTCTTGATATGATAAAGCGAAAGTACTTTTTAGCTAAGAAAGATAACCCTGTGTATATGTATGACGCAGATCTACATAAGCCTGTTTATGCAGTATGCTGTCTGCTGAAGATCCATTAGTAAACTTTATTGATTTTTCAGTTCATGCAGGAAATTGTTACGAGATGTTTCTGATAATTTGCCATGAAAATTGCTATTGTATTCCTTTTTTTATTTGGCACTTCACTTGTTGACTATCCACTCACAATAGAAATTGCCCCCTCCCCCCAAAAAAATAAAATAAAATAAAATAATCATAATAAAAGGAAGAAAGAAAGATCCACAAACATTACAGAGATCAGCCATTCATTTAAACAGAGACATATCTGTGAATATCTATTGAAAAATCAAACTGTGACCCTGGTATAGGGTCAGGAGGAGGCGTGTTAAGAATTAACATACATAGTGTTCCGGATGGACCCTACGTGGTTTTGTCTTTACATTTCCTCCTTATTGTTTACTGCAATCACTACCCTCCATATTTGAAACTAAGAAGACGATAATGTAACGGCACGTTTTTAATGACGTCACCACCCGTTCTAACGACAGGAAAGAAAAGTCTGATAGATCGGGAGATTTTTGGTCTGAGTCGGGAGGTCCCGAGACCCCCGACGTGATCTCGAGTGTTGACAGGACTGCTACACCAATTGTATGGTTGGCATTAAAACTGTTCCTTTTCAGTGTTGTGGCGCTGCATTGTACACTAAAATAATTCACGGCTTTAGTGGGAGTAAAATTCGGCAAAGAGTGTCAGTAACGTTTAATAAGTCAACAACAGTCATGTGGCTCTTGGCACGTAGCTGTACTCCCGCACGTGCGTACGCTCGCGCTTCCTAGTCACAAAGTATTAAAGTTGCAAAAATCAATTAGGTTATCAACTGCTATCATTACGCCAATAAAAAGCGCTATCATTTGACGCGTTACAATCCACAATCATTCATTTATAAAGAATAATCATACGATAAACCGCAGCAATTGGGTTAATCTTCAACTCGTTTGAATGGAAAATTACGTTGCGCTTTGGCAACTGGCCCAATGCCCCCGTGAACGTGCGTTTTCTAGTTTGCCAAACAAACGACAAATATTCATTATGAGCGTTATGGATAAAGGTTAAAAGTAGTCTCATCGTCATTTTTTCTTACATTTCTGTCCTTAATTGAACGTATATTAAGGCACTTAACAGTATACAGTATTACCACTTAATGGGATAAATGTCCTTATTTTACTGAGAAATCGACCTCATAGTATATTGTTATTTCTGTTTTAACATTATCAATTAAAAATTAACCTTCAAACAAGAAAACTAAAAGTTTAGAGGAAGAAGGGGAGGGGCAGAGAAGGTGGGGCTCCGTAGTCTATACAATGCAAATTTAAAGACAGATAACATCAGACTTGAACATTGAGGAAAGGACGGGAAAGAACTGGGCTGTATTCCACTGATGGGGCGAAGAAAACGCGTGCAAACTGTGAGGCCTACAAGAAGACGGCTTTGCAGTAGTAGTAGTAGTAGTAGTAGTAGTAGTAGTAGTAGTAGTAGTAGTAAGAGTAGCAGTTTAAGTTACAAATTTTATTGATCATTTTATACAGTCCGTTTAATCGCCCATTTCAAGTAATGATTTATTTGTCATGAATGTGTAGCTTTAGCATCAGTATGGTCATTTTTTTTTCAGGATCAAAATGGCAGATGTTCAATGCTGTGGAAAATGCACCGGCGCGTAAGTAAAGTGAATGAGCTGCATTGTCGATCTAAAAGCTTGTTGGACCTTTTAGCGAACAGCAGATGCTATCTGACTCGAAGAAATTGGAGATCTGCATTTTGCTAATTAAATTATTTCTACGCAAAACTAATGAAAATGTTACGCAACACTTCATGGTCTAATTTGAGAGCGCTCATTGCAAGTCAAATGGAAAAGTTAACTATCCCCAAATGATCTGCTGGGTTGTGTTAATTTTCATTCCACAGCTGTGCACGTGTCTCAACTACCACATTTGCTGATTTCAGGAAGGCCACGTGCGACGAGGGCTGCAAGTGCCCGAAGTGTCAGTGCTGTGAATGCAAGGACAAGGAATGCTGTACTACCGAGGGAGAGGTGAGATAGTATTTATATGAGAGAGAGAGAGAGAGAGAGAGAGAGAAGCATCGGACTATTCATATGGCAAAGAATAGACTAAGCTTATAGATAAGGGCGGGGGGGGGGGGCAGGAGATGGGGTTCGATCATCTCTATCCCAACCATTCACCCCACCCCACCCACTGAATTATCTACAGGTCACATATTTCGTCTTAAATTATTGTTTTGCTTATTTTGATAATCCGATTGTTTTTTGGTTATCTTTATTCCTTCCCATTGAACTGGTCTTCATACACTCTCACTTGCGTTTCAGAGGGAAATCGGGAGACCGAATCAACTCGGTAATAATTGCCAAATACTTGATTTCAAATGTCATTCTTCAAATTAAAGCTGTGATTTAGTTTGTTTTACAAGGAGAGTATGCTCTGATATTCCAGGCCTGCAAGGAGTCTTGCCCTTCATGTACCACTGCTAATTGCTGCTGTAAACCAGAGTGTGCCAATTGCGCTGGAAAGGACTGCTGTAAGGATGGAAAGGTGAGGTTTCTTGACTTTGGTGATGACTGAGCCGTGTGTGTGTGTGTGCGTGTGTGTGTGTGTGCACATATGCCAGCCTGTGTGTGAATATATGCGTGTGCCTGCTTATGCCCGTGTGTGTGTGTGTGTGTGTGTGACCATAAGTTTTTTCCTTATAACTGTCTAGGAACCAGTATGACAGACTTTTGTTCAGACTTATGAGTTAAAATACCTTGACAGACGTTGGTTTGTGAAATGTAAATTTATTTTACTTCTGCAACAAAGACTGCTGCACATGACCACCATCACTCCCATCACTGTCAAAAGGAGGTAAGAGGCATGGACTGCATGGTGTATAGGCATCGATTAAAAGCAAAGTATTTTGTTAGCATTGTAGTTTTTTTTTAAATAAATATTTTTATCTGATGTATTGATTGCTTTGCGGCATGTCTTTTGTTCGCTGTATTTATGGCCATTCTCATCTCGCAGACTGCTCAGTCCTGTAAGTGTGAAGCTGTAGAATTTTCACCAAGGCCAATTTTTATTTTCCAAAAAATCATAGAATATCCCGTCAAGAGAACTTGACACACATAATGATAAAAGAAAAGATTTTGAGTCCTATGCAAGATTATACAAGACCAGTATGCAAAATTTCGACACGCTTTGTTCCAGCATTAGTTTCTGTATAGAGGATCACAGTGATGTGCCAAAAGCTACTGAGCCACTAGAGGCAATACGTCATTAAAAATAAATAGCGAAATTGCATCAATGGATACGTTTTTAAGTGCTTGTTTTTAATCTACGTATATAACCCGTGCGTTTTGTATTTATAAGTTTATAAATATATTGCGCTAGTTTTTCAGTTTGGAGTATTTCACTTTACTTTTGCATGACGTCCTAGTTTTCTGGTTTTTATGGGAAATGGGTCATACAGGAATTGTGTATAATCTTAGTCTTTCTCAGTAATTTTTTTCTTCTTCATAACATTGTAGCCGTGCACGCAGAACTGTCCACAATGCGTGAAGACCGAAGGTTCTCCTTCTGAGTAAGTTCCAAAGTTGTCTTCTACTTTCTCATCGTTTTATTTATAAGATAAGCAGTTGCCAATTATTTAATTTGTCATTGACAAAGCTTAATTGAAATATTTCTTAAGAGACCGATTTTTTTATAGAATATTGTAAACTTACTTATATGGGAAGTAGATATCTAGTAATTGATTGTGGACCTTGATTTTAGGTAACGGTGCGGCAGTTCCTGAAGAGCTCCGGTAGCCTATTATTTAAAAAACGAAAAAAAAAAACAACAAAAAACAGAGATGTACAAAAGTCATAAATGTCTCAAAGCCAACATGAACACATGAAGGTCTTCAGCCACATAAAAGCTGGGGCAAACTGACCAGATATTACGAAACTGCATAATTTGTCAAAATCATGTTTTAGGCTATATACCACATTGTATGGACATCTGTATACGTTGTTGTTTGCTTTTGAAAATAAAATCTTTAATTTAGCCGTAGAGTATAGTTTCAATAAAGATGATATAACGAATCTGAATGTTTGTTTTACAGATATAGGGAAAGTTAAACAAACGGATTTTTCAACATTTAAGTTACATGTACTATATATATAATTTTTAGTAATTGTTAAAATTTCCTTTGCTTAACAGGTCGAGACACTTCACTGTTACTCGTCAATAAGTTGACTGTCAACTATGGAAAACCCTGGAGAATATTGTTCATGTGTAATCCTTCGTGTACACCATTGACTATTGACTTTAGAAGACGCTAGAAAATGTTGTAATGTTGTTATTGTGCAGTCCTTCGCACATATATTTTCATTGACTATCGATTAAAGAAAACCCCAGAAAATGTTGTTAATTTATAATCCTTCAGACATAGTTTCATTCATCAGCATGACAGTTTAGACAGGCACAAATCGACTGCTAAATTTGCTGTCGTATGAAGCTTTGTAAAGTCGATTTTGTTACACGAGACTATTATTCCATACGTCTCAAAATGAAAAATCTAAAACTCTCTTCATGTAGGCCTACTAGACACCTTAATAAATACGTTATGCATAAGTCCTTCACTTGTATACCGGAAAAAGAACTTGGGTTTGCCTATTGCTTCAACACATGCATGCTTATTAGTACACGTAGTAAACTTGACATTCATTTTCTATGACTACCAACTTGAATATGGAGGGCAATCCATATTTCCAGACTATATTCTGATATGCAAGTTGTGCCAGTTCTGCGAGTATTAGCAAGAACGTGCTAAATGCTCCGATAGACAGCATTCCGCTTACTTTACGTTTTAATCTATACATTGGTTTCCTGGAGTGCATTCAACCATAAAGTTCATTGAAAAAAGATAAAAAGACTAATCGTATGCTCAGTATGTCACTGGGATCGTTTTTCATTGAATAGACCGATCTAGTGTATTCATGAAAATAAATGACGAATGCGGTCGATACGAAATGTTCTTTTTTTTCTGAAAAAAATGTACTGAATGATGACACTGGGGTATTAATTCTTATGAGTAGGCAAATATGTCGCCGTTTTCACCTACTTCTTAACAAATGGCTGATAACAAGTTTCATCAACATTCAATCGACAATTAAAAAGATTTACAATGAGTGCCCGATAACATTGTGATTAACGAGTCAATTGAGCCTGAATGACGTATTATACCCACGTTCACCTTAAATGCTTCTTAATCTTTAATGTCGATCCTTGTCTTTCATTTTATTCAACTTTTATTTCTTCTTATCAGCTGGTCGTTTTTTTTACAAAAAACAAGACAATCTCCTGCAATGGCGTATATACCATATTCTGGCCAAAGCCATATATTAAATTAACGGTGTATTGACCCAGATATACCTATTGATCTTGTTCTTTCCCTTGGGGACGGCTGTCGGTAACTGTACATTTATGTATTCACAATTAATTGTAAGCCACAGCGAGCATTCTGTTTCCTACCGAAAGATCCGGCGGTCGTCAAGATAAATATCGTTACAAGAAATCATGGTACCATGAAAATACGGCGAGGCCATCACAAAGTGCAGCAGAAAAGCATGACAGGCCGCGAACACGGCTGATTTGATGAAGTTCTTCGTCTGATGATTTACAAATGCGGTCATGGCTACGTGTTTATCATATCACAGTGTCAGATACCTCGGTTCCCAGAAATGTTGGGTTCCCGTGCGGTATCAGTTAACATGGAAACGTGCGTATATATATCAGTGAAAACATGTAACGGGACGGGACACAGAATGTCATAGTACCATTTTATCAGATTATGGTTGACGTATTGCTCAAGTTAGCAAAGTCACCTTAACAAACAAAGACAGTTTTGCAAATTGTTCTTGACACAATATATATATAGATATTCCTCTTCAAAAAACCATTCTCCCTCGTAAGAAAAATTCTTATATCTGACCAATAACCGTCCTTTGGAAGCCGTGAAAAAGTCACAAGACTCTCTCTCCACAGTCATGATATAGGGCTATCACAGATACTCTTGTATTATAGCATACCGTACTATCACTGCACGACCGCTTTCAATTCTGTCATGTAAAACCTACAAAAAGTCAAATCCGCTAGTTTCAAATGACTAGCACAAAGTTAACTCCTCAGAGTGAACAATCGATATATCCCACCTTTTTTAAAAATCTTCTCACACATATTCGGGTTATGGAATTTTCTCGTGCATGATTTTTAGCGTGTAAAATGTTCATCACCGTCCTCTTTCAATGCGATCCAGTAGCTCCGTTGGCGAATTGGCCGGTGACACTTTATTGCTCTTGGTGTCCTTGCATAGAGATCCGCAGCATATACACCATATTATACAGCAGCATGTCACTATTCCAGCAAAAAAACCAAGGCCAGATAGTAAGCCAACTAGCATTGCTTGACTGTCCCCCGGATCCTCAGTTGTCTATGAAAAATAAAATAGCAACCAAATTAAAAAAAGAAACGTGTTTCAAAGTGTCTTTTTAGCCATTTTATTACTGTACGTTTAAATCTCTGTAAGAGAGAGAGAGAGAGAGAGAGAGAGAGAGAGAGAGAGAGAGGCGAAAAACACAAAAAGGTATTTAATACTATGTTAGAACACACTGATAGCCTTGTAAGACATAACAATGGTAACGCTTATTTTCTAATTAAAAAAATGGTAAGATTGAGAGCGTACCGTTGTGCCAACAGTAGTTGTTATAGATTTTGTTGTCTCTACGGCGGCTTCGGTAGTGGTAAGTGAACTTCCATTACATTCTGAAATGGTAAAAAATAGCACTTAAAAAGCTTGTCTAATGGGATTATTTGAGGAAACTTTCCCGTCAGCGCCTTAAAGAAAACTTAAATAGAACAGAAATATTTGATCAATTGAAGCTGCGCTACATGCACTTTTACCCTCGATTTTATAAAAGCCATAATGGCAAACTGTTTTCTGGAAGCAGCCACCCATGCAGTCGGAATCGGTTCGGTGCACATAGCGGCAGGTAGACCAAAGACAGATATTTCAATAAGACAGAATCGATAAAGTATATGGTGGAACTTTAGATGAACACGTTAAAGAGAGATTAGTGCCAGTTGAACCGCTAAACACACGTCAGCACATCCCTTGAGATCATTGCATGGAAAGAACCGTGTCTCCTTCGTTTAAAAAAAATCATTTTTCAGTTGTGCTATGTGAATAGGTGCAATCCCGTGCTTCGCTCTCTTTTTTTTAATAATGAAAGCACACTTGCGCATGCTTCTTTAATTTCTGTGTTGTGTTTTTCTTATCTATCTGTTTAAATGTCCGTTTTCAACTTTTCACAAGAATGAAACACTTGTACAGCAAGGATACAACAGTCACCCTTCAGCTAGGTGTAGTACCACGTCCATGTTAGACTTTGGACGGTTAAAACTTAAGATGGATTGATATAAACCTTCTCAAACTTTGTAAATGATCGTAAAAGCCACGCCACCAGGGTATAACGGTTTAAGAAAATACACACCTTGTCCAAAAATGAAGTGGTCAGAAAACGCGAACTCTAAATCCCCAACCATGGGCACGCCAACCAACTATCGCCCTTTATCTTATCTACCCTCTATCAGGGCCACAGATTGATTTTTCATTAGATATTCACAGATATGTCTCTGGTTAAATTGACGGATCTTCTCTGCATTTCTCGCGTCAGAGAAAAACCACACATAATAAAATCTGCGGCCCTGGTAGAGGGTATATCATATCTAATGTTGTCAGGGCAGTCGCGTGATACTGCTGGGGGATGCAGATTGACCGGGAGGCGAGAGGTATACGCGAGAATAAATTTCTGCTTAGATCTTCCCAAGAAAAAAAAGTCATCTGGGGCATATTTTTGACACGCGTCAAACTAATTCATCGCGCTTGATGATAAAGGTTTTTTAGAAACTGATCAAGGAGTGTAATGCAGCTACATGTATCACTCGATGCTGGCACTTGCAATGTTCACCATGCGCCCCGACACAGATGAAAATTGCTAAATCCAGGCCCCAGTTTCACAAAAAACTTAAATCAGGTTCCCTGGCTAAGAACTTAATTATCAAGGTTACAAGGTCACATAGCATAGCTTACCCTATTAGGAGCAGTGTTACAGCACTCTCATGAAAATCCTAGTCAACTAATCCAGGGAACTGACTGACTTACTTTTTTTGTGAAACTGGGGCCAGCTACTTGATTAAATCTAAACATGATTTTTAGATGTTGATGATTTGATTGTGGACATTAATCCGTTAATGAAAAAATATATTGTAAAGCGATTATGCACAATGACGGTTTTCTGACAGAATGACATGTGCCCAAGTTGTAAAGGTCTTCGGAAAGCCCCCTTCACACACTGGACGGTGTCCTTTCTGCGTCCTTCGTGATACCATGAAACTGGCATCGCTGTGGTCGTAAAAAAAAAAGAGGCACAAGCATCGCTTTCGCTGCAAAATGAATCCTCAATGATCGGCCAGTTGTCGGCACGTAAAGTATCATTGTTTTTTTTTCACTCTCAAACAGGGCTGCACTACAGGACGGAGAAAGGACGCGGTCCCGTGTAAAGGGGCCTGAAGTATTGAGAAAGGAAGCCAAAATATATTTATGAATAAAAAGCAGCCTTGAATGTCTGTATCTGCTCTTTCCTCTTTCGACATCAGGATCTGCGCGTATTTTAACCAATTTCACGATTATTCATTTTATATAAGCTAAGGGAATGACTCAGCTTTAAATGAACAAGAACGGAATCCACGCATTTTTTCGCCAACTTGGTTGTGATGAAAAAAAAAAAAGTGTTTTCAGTAACTGCATAAAACGACATGCCATTTCCACGAAACATGCCGAAGAGGCGGTAAGAAGTGCACTTACGTCAGGTGAAGGAGATGGAATCCCGTATAATCTAGATGCGAAATCCCATTTGATGACACTAGTATCGGCACTCGCCAGTATGGGATTTCGGGAAAGAGAAATAAAAAAAAAAGTATATTCCATCCGATCGATGGCAGGAAGTGACTGCAACCATTATAATGTTAGTTCGTTGATAGGTGCTGCATCATGAAATATTCATCAAAACCCTTTACACCGTCGTGGGAAACAAGACAATGAAATTGACATAATATGGATATCCAGAGCCGGTAACCATGGTAACGAAACGCTGTTTTGGCAGTTGTACGGAGGGGATTTAGTTTTAAGTTACCACCTCGGCCACAACTAAAGCGCTCTTCAAAGAGAAGGACGCTAGACTTTGGATTTTTTTCCCCCGGAGGACTGTATTGATTAGCACAGAAGTGTTAATTTGCGAAAGAATTAAAAACGATGCTTCACATAAAGAATAGTTTAAGGGGTAATCCCCCACAGGTTGACGAGTTCAAAAGGTAATCCGTTTAACTGTTTACCAAGCCCTAGAGACCGCGCTGTTTTCTTGCAATACAAAGGCCAAGGTTTAGGGGTGAAGAAAGCATTGAATCCTAACGCCTGTTTTTGCACACAGACGCCCCTTCCCACCTCTACTTCAAAGGTATACCATTAGGTAATTTTACACAATGTAAGAAACCACGCCACCCTTATACTATACCATATTATATACTTTGTGTAATCACTTTACAATGCTTTCTGTACCAATTTGTTAATATACGAAAATAGTTTATGTAACATGCGAATGAGCTTGCGGAAATGGAGCTCAAACGGTGTCATTGCAGAAGCACTAGAAAAATGAAGAGACCGGTAATGTTGCGTTGTCATAGATACCACACAAAAACAGTTATAGTATAATATCCTAAGCACTTCAGCCAAGTTTGATGCATAACGTTTTACTTCCGAAATATCCGTCAAAAATAAAGGGATCCCTTTAGTTTACCACGTCGGAACACAAAACGTATTAGGGAATTTTGACATACATCATTGTCATCTCTAACATATATGCATGTTTCATATTCCCCCTACTATAAGTTTTGGTTTTGAAGTCGATTTGTACTGTTTTGCACAAACAAGAATATGTTAGGTGTAATGCAGTATAATCAGCTTGATACAAATTCTTCAAAAGCGAGGGTGTGAGCTTACGCTAACCTCCCCACGTTTTAATGAACTTCATCATTTTTTCAAACATTTTGAAAAGAAACCGAGGATAAGTTTCAAGTATAAAAGTCAATCTCTTTTCTGTACCAAACAGTCGACAATTAAGAATTGTGTTACTTGCCGTTCAGCGTGGTCATTTATAAAGCAAATCGGGAAAATAATATACGTTCCATTGTAAGTCTCGGTAAAGCCAAAATGAATTGGTCCTTCACGTTTTTGACGCGTGATTTGGAAATATCTTGTTTTGCTAAACCGTATCTAGTGGATATAGAAATGACCCATTCGCCCTCCTTTAGTCTCTGATCAAGATAGGAGTCGGGGGGACTGTGTGTACGAAAACTGGACCAAACCAACCATCACAGCTGCATAGTGCCTTATGGCTAGCGGTCTTTTGTCAACAGAGAAATTGAAAATAAACAAGAAATAATAGTGTAATAGAATATCAAACTCAGAGTCAAAAGGGGTTAAATTACAAGAGATGGTGATGGACTGAAAATGAATCGGTAACTGTTACCTCGTACCTCTATTTGCGGTACATGGGTTCGGCACAATCAATGAGCAAAGAGAGAGAAAATAAATTGTGGGACAGGCAACTGCGTCAATTATCTTCATTGATCAAAATTACTTCAAAAATCATTCACATCAACAGAAATATTTTACGTTTCCATTTCTCGTATGTAAACAATGATTTTGTTTATTCATATCATGTCCATATTGACTGTTTCTTTGGTTTTCTGCTTCTGTTTGCCTTTTGCAACAAGGGTATCTTCACGAATATTATATGATTCAAATTCTGTCATTTCGGAGACGGGGCACTGATGACAAATTCTACAAAAACACTTTTAATAGCACTTATGGTATAACAATAGGTAGGGCACATTTGATTCGATGACTTTGTACTTCACATCGACACACACAAACACATAAAATATACACACACAGACGTTTGACTTACCTTGTATTTTGATACAGAGAATGGTGGTTAGGAGAACACACCAGTCTGCTAGCAATTTTATAGCTAGTTTCTTCATTTTTCTCTTATTTGAAGACGGGCATCAGCATAATTTCAACATTTTTTGTGGGTGCGTTACTTTTCCAGTGTCGTTGGCGAAATAATCTGCATTACGTGTTGATGAAAACATGTCGCTTTCCAATAGATCTCAGTCCATACTAAATAAAGCGTACCACCGGGTTCCGAAATATGGTTCTCGCGTGACTGACTGACTCGGAAATCACGATGTGTCATAATGTATAGTCAGTGACGAAACCAGTGAGAGGCGGCTTGTCACAGTAACAGCGCATGCGCAAGACAGTCATTCCAAACATCAAATTGTGTAAGATAAGACGCACAGTAAAATGACATAGCCGAAATATATTTTGGATTAGACTTATTTCGTTGTTGTCCTTTGTTTAGCTCAAATGTTATACGTGTCGAAAACAAGGAATTGAGAAGAAACGCGTAATTGATATGCGCTTTATCGCGATCGATCGATAGGTCTACTGTTTTTCCGTGTAACATAGGAACGTTGATTCCCATATTATGGATGTAATTAGACATAACTCAAGACCGGCTGTTGTATTTCACGGTGATGCAAGCAGTATGAATATGCTTATACCTTGTGACCAGGTAATTATAATAAACGACTGAAAAGAAACCAGCGTCTTATAACCACCGCTTCTTCATCTCCTGTAAAATGCAAATCGGTTCTCATAAGGCGTGAAAGGCCTACAGTTAACTTCATCGGTAAAGCGCGTTTATTCTATACGCGTAACACTGGGGGTTGGCTATGGGCACAATATGACATTTAATATGGGATTATTATTGATAATACGACATTACATAATACCTCCTCATTACGATATTCTAATTTGAACCCTCCTAACATGTGGGTTAACGTCACCTGGAGTCCGCTCCGCGATCCCCCGGTGAAAACGAACGTTAATTGTCACTATTAGGCTAACCGTCAAGGTACCGACTGCGTAGATGGAAGTGATAATGGGAATAATGAACAGCGCTCCAAGATCAGGAAGTTCATTAATCGCATAAAAACATTTCGATGAATCATCAGTTGCTCAGGTGAACATGTCAATTATAAACAACTGAATAGAAAGCCACGTCTAATTGCCGCTTCTTCTTCTTCGTTCCTTTTTACTCCAATACAGCAAATTTGCTCTCGCCTGGCATGCAGTTTCATGATAGACTTGCAATTAACTTCATTTTTATCGTAGGATTCAGTCCTGTCCTTTTTTCCCCCAGAAAAACAAATCGCGCATTCAACTTCTTTGTCTGTCGTAAAGTAAGAAAAGGCATACACTGAAGCCAATATTTTGTAATCGAAGCTGCGAAAAACATCGAAATGTGGCATTTTGTTTCAATAAATCAACAAATAACTGATCAACGGCCTGAGCTTACAAGGTAGGCCTACGAGATGCAAACGCTGCGTAGGCATACATGTACCTTTCAAATTAACCTATACCATCAAGTACATTTGTCAAGTGGCTGTCTTTATTACAGGTGCACAAAAATAAATAAACATTCCATTACTTGTTACTCCGATAAATCAAAATAAATGTGATTCTTAGGGATTTTCAGTCTAAATATATAAGCCAATCTTATAAAGTTATCATATTTCGACTACATAATCCAGGTGTAAGTACACCGTTCGCTGACATAACAGTGTCTGTGTTGCTTAATCTATAGGGACTTTAACTGAAAATAAAACAACATTTACAAATAACTTGCGAAAAACTATGAGTTCATTTCTAGGAGTCGAGATTCCCTATCAAAGAACACGCTACTTGTGCATCCACAACAACCTGTAAGTTAAAAGTCGTAACATAATCTGATGGTATTAACACATTTTTTGCAGTAATATTAATCCTTCCTGAGAGTCAAAGAAGGTTATGAGTGCCTTAATCTGTTCTGCGTTTTTTTCCTCTTTGTTTCCCAAATTTATAGCATATATTCCTTGTATTTTGAACGGTAATAATGTTGTTGATATGAAGGTGTATTATCTCCAAGAGGATGCACTGAAATTCCACCATTGCATTTGTTTCTTCTTCATCATGATCCTCATTCTTTCCCGATTCTTAATTCCTCACTGAATACATCTTGCCAAACTCCAGCTGCTCTCGTAAAATCTGCATGAGACAATAATTGTCTTGTTTCTTTTTACTTACTAACACGCAATCCGTAGATCAATAAGGCACTTGAGTTCATATTTTTACTTGCACTAAGCATGTTAGCATACACGCACGCGCATGCGCGCACACACGCACACATGCATATTGCATCATAACAAACACGTGCACATTTGTCGCCAACTTGCCATGGTATCACACAAACACACACGATGCAGTTAACACTCACACTCAAGTTGCCATAATAACACATATTAAAAACGTACTTAACTATTTATCTTTATATTTATGAAGTGCAATTCTAATTTTGATTATCAGAATAACATTTATTCCAGACTTAACTTACCTACTACACACAGACCTTATCATGATAAAATCATTTCCTGGCGAAAGGGTTTTTTAGAATCTTATTATATAACATTCTGGTATTTTTCATGCCTGAATAAGCTAAGTGCTCTTTACTTTGGTATGCGTGATAACGGTATATATCTTTGAACGTTCTGGACTTTTCATGACCATCCGTGAAAATACAAACCTCAAACGGATCGATATGATAGAGTTCAAAGTGAATCATACTTATCAGAGACCAAATCGGCGATATGTCATTACTGTTTTTTTTTTCAATTAAAGCACGTGGTCCAACAATTGAAAAAAATTGATGATCATAGCAGATAGACCTACAGTGCAGCCAGTTTTATTAACATTTGATCCCTTTTACGCATCCTTAAGGAATGTTGCTGTTGCGCAATTTTTAATGCTTTAGTTGGTACATATATTTTCCGTTGTGTCCATTCATTTTCGGCTGTATGCCTTTTCACTTCATTACTGTAAGTTTTTCTGACACAATTGCATAATGGAGGAAATATATCACATATTGTGAGCCTGGATACATAATACATAAGAAGCAATATCCTATTAGACTATATGATAAGCATAACAAGATAGTTCTATCGGAAACTGCACAGCCTAATTTCTCATCTTATCTATTCGAAAGCAGCGGCATAAACATTTACCTTCATTCTTACGTTACATGTTCTATGAAAATAATAAATGAAATATATGATAATAAAAAAAAAAAAAAATGGACATGACTGATACATCTGTACATAGTTTTATAGGTTGTTCAAAGTTTTTTTTTTTTTTTTTTTTTGTCGGCAGCATAAACGTGGTTGCTATTTAACATTGTTGTTGTCCTCAGCAGTTCATGCCATGTGCGTTACTTTGAGAAACGAGAAAACAATTTTGAAAACAAAATTGACTACAGCAAAGTTAACGCGTCCAGGCCTGTCGCAATTGATTGATTGAATTACTTCATGTCTTGGCACTTATTGGCAAATCATTTTCTGGGGACAATGTTTGGAAAGTGTATGTGTATTTATTTCTATAACATATATTCGAGGTTTTAATAGCGTTCTGTGATTGTAATTGAACAAATAAAGCTTGGGGAAAACGAAATTGTATTCAATGTATCCACGGTGAATGCGATTTTTACTTTAGATTTTATCTATAGAATGGCATAGATAATTCATGACAGATTCAAGGAGAAGAGACAGATTTCTTTCGGTTGTCGACTCAAAGTAATGTAAATATTGCGTTTGGAGTGGTGTCAACAAAAGATGAGCCGACCTTCAGGTTTGAAGTATCAAACAAACAGTCAGTAAACATTGTTAATAGTGTTTGTAGTTTACACTGTATATAATTTCTATGGACAATCAACAAAGTGATCGCATGGAATAGATACATCAATTTACAGGGAACGTTTGTATACATTTCTATCTCCATTGTTAAATGCACAATACATGACATAATTGACTTTCATCCTAGAAGAAACATAAAATACCTGAGAGGCAATATTTCACGTCTGTAACAAATGAGAGCTAATCCATATTTCATGGGCAAAGGCCTAGAAGCCATTTTTTATCAACTGGTACACCAATAATTTTACCCGGCGGTAAAAATGTTGGATGATCACAATATTCATGCGTAGAGCGAATATGACAGAATCTTACGTGATGTCATTCATAGTTCGTTATATCTTGCCACAATTTATCCAATTTAAGTGACCTCCCTTGTGTGGCGGCATTGTAAGTAGATGAAGCACACACACACACACACACACACACACACACACTTATTAAAAATGCTCTATTAGACAAATATGCACAAATTATTGCTGAAAGCGGCTCACTATAGTCCCAAATGTATTAGGGTTCCACATAGCTTACGTGATTGCATCGTATACTTTATAATTCCTTGATTAAGCTACATTCAGCTTCCCTGGAGGTTAGAAATATTGATTCATGCATTCCAGAAAACATCCTGATTTTCCCAGTTGCTCGGCAGCACTTTAATTATTGAGCCATTTATTCAAGGTACCAGTCTCTACCGTCAATAAAAGGAGCCATAACAAAAGACCCAGTTTCCCTACGATCCATACCGCGAACTTCAGTTCAATTTTTGAACACAAGGAATGATCCCTGAAAAAAAGGGATACCGACAAAGCAGCGAGGAATCACGTATGCTGCCATCTACCACAATGCCCTAGACTGCCAACGGCACTACTTTCTGCACAGTAAGCCAACTGCATAGCAAGCTCTGCTGAATAGTGAACGGATTCGGATGGAAATCCTGCAGGAAGCCGGCCGAAGCGAGGTCGATCTTGTAAATATGGTCGTTAGTTTTGTTCATGCTCACCACCTCTGAATTCTCAAGCAGAACAATGACACCGTGCCGATAAAAAGCAAGATATAGTGTTTCTTTTTAAACCTCCACTGAAGACGCCAGGAAAGCACAGATTTTAAGGTACCCCTGAGAAGCTTGGGATCAAGAGGTCAAAGGTACGCAAAAGTCCAATTCGTTTTAAGTATATAAAGTTAACCAGTTTTTATAACCAACCGAAATTACATAAATGTCGACAATTGAATATGATACACCTTGATGCTACACATGTATTTTACTTATTTGAGTGACGGACATGTTGCATTTCATCCNCTATGAGAATGGGGTCTAACTCTCTCTCTAGTGAGAGAATGGGATATGTCAAACTCAGAGTCAGTAAGCATATAAGTTCAGTCATATACGGCGATTACATCGGACCCAGCCCTGACATGGAACATGTATGTTCTTTTTACGGGATTTAGATGTTGTTTTAATTCAGAACGGTAACTATGTTTCGAAGCAATATAAGGAGATGTTTGCAGTCTTAATGTTAATCCATATGACCATTAGCACAACGGCCCAAGTGATTTTTCTCAATTTAGTTTTCCCAGAAGCACTCTTGTTATATCTATTTACATCAGCGTACTTTATCACCGGGCCATTAAGGGATAACAGAACTGTTGCAGTCTTATTGTCCATGAGTTAGAAAAACGGTTGAGCGGTAGAGATTTAAGACACAGCCTTTGAATCTGGAATAGGAGTCATATATCTCACTAGTTTTATTTGCTTTTTTTTTCTTCGGAGAGGGGTTAATAATTTTGTAAGTTCGTTTGCTTTAACATATCAAACCTCTATTCCCGTTAAAATAAAATAAATACGTTGTTTTACTTTTGCCTTCAGATGAACAAAATTTGAACTTCGCTGCCCAAGGAGTACAAGTGCCTCAGAAATGTTTCGCCCGATCGATTGGTACATTTTTGTTTTCTCCAACTCTGCCGGATGCTCCGAGCGGCCTGTCTTCCTCGTCAATGTCTCTGTGTTCTTGCCGTCTAAAACAAACCCCTTGGGCATGATTAAATGGATTAAACTACCAACAATAATGGCAATAGAGAATATTGAACATGTCAGAACAACGCGTAATGGTTTGGATACACAAAGTTATCTATTCGAAATAAGTACACTGTAAATCTAAGTGAATTAATAAACCACCCCTCTTATAGAAATTATATGGGACGTAATACATGCATTCCCTTGTGTTTCATTTGAGCATGAAAGAAATTGAATCTCTATGTTGGTATCTTTGAAGGTGTTATTTCAACAAGTCGATGAGCTTAATGTGTTTTCGGATCACGTGCAGGAAATTACTGTTGGCGAGGACCCGATTTCGTCGTGGAGTGCATTACTTAGGGTGTAAACAGTAGAAACCAAGTCAAATGTTAAGGGAAGAACTACTATGCGTGATTAAGTATAGAATACATGACTCGACTGAAGATTTCATCGCACATGTTCCCCATCCAGACACTGCGAACCAGTGATATGATCTTTTAGCACCGGAAAAATTATCACGCGATTATAACTCATCAAGCCTACAGTGCAGGCAGAGCTTGTCAGAACGACTCCAAGTAAGATTTGTGTTGTAATTAAGAAAATTTAAAGCACCAATATACGCTGGGCGATCATTTTACATTATACTAAGATTTATCAGATATACTTGTACGCCTAGATATAGAAGCTGTGAATCGATAAGTTTAGTAATTAGTATTACACAATAGATCATTCATATTTAATATGAGGAAAGGGAATTGTCCTTGTTACATGAAAGACAGAAAGAGAGAGAGAGAGAGAGAGATGTGTGACAGTTTGTTTTATCAGCAGCTAGTATGAAGACAGATAAAAAATACCATGTTCAAAGATACAATGTGCATAGATCAAGACCTTGTTCCGTATTTTAAAGTCAAATTAATTTGCACTATAATCTCCCTTGCATCACGAAGGCCGCAGTGAGAAATATATAAAAGATGGGTTATTAATATATCGATCGCCTGGCGGTGAAAAACTATAGACCGAAAAACTAAAGCTGACAGAACTTGACAATAGAATGACATTAAACATAATATGCAAGTTAATAATTGAACAGTAAAAAAAAAAAAAAAAAAAAAAAAAAAAAAAAAAAAAAAG